TAAAAAAAAAAAAAACAAAAAGAAGAAAAAAAAAAAACAAAAAACCCCAAAATATATTTGAGGATAAAATTTGTTCATCAATTCTGTTTTTTTCAAATACGAGAAAGTGTTTACAAATTAACAGTAAAATAACTTTCTTGATTATAAATACATGTTGGCTTTAGAAAACCGCCAAACAACCTCGAAAGCGCACGGACCCGAAGTTCAATCGCCGGTATCAAAACAAAAACAAACAAAAAAAAGCCTCCAAATCAGTGAAGAAAAAAAATTATTCAGGATTCCATTTCCTGGAGGGGTCTCGAAGTGGGATCTAACGGTGGATAATGCATTGGGTTCTGCTTTTGTGTTTTACTTTGAATTAAGCTCAAGACGACCACATCGAAATAGGACATTCTTAATGACTTCCCAGTACCGTTCCTTGTACCTTCCACGGCAGTTTACCTAACCGTTCTCTCACTGGTAGATGTTCACCGGTTCTAGTTTTTTTGTTCTGTAAATGAGGCTGAATTTAGCATTGTGGCCGCGCAGCCTGAGCGCGTCTCTGGCGGTGATCTTCAGAAGTGTCACGTCGTGAGTAGGGTTTGTCCTGAGGACTTTTTTCCTGGGCGGAGCCTGGAACCAAGACGCGCAGGGATCCGCAGGAACCGGGCAGGGGCGCGCCGCTGTGTCTGGCCCTGTCATCACTCCCGGGTTGGCCTGGACGCGACAGAGCAGCAGAGCTGGAGGTGGACACTGAGACAGAGGGGCCGTGGGGCTGGGCGGCGCGGTGGGGTGCACTGTGACCCTCGCAAGCCCAAGGACCCGGCTGCCAGGGCCAGCTGCTCCGTGAGTTGAGATTCTCCGTGCCTGCGAGGCTGCTGGAGGCACCGGCATCTCCAGCCCCGGGAGAGGGCTGGGTATTAGGTTCTTGCCTCTCTCCCCAGCAGAGCCTAGCGCGAATGAGCAGAGCGAGTCTAGACGGGTTGTGCTGCCCGACCACGCGGTTTCCTTTCTGATACAACCTGTCAGTCAATGTCTAGGACACCAGAGCCTGACCTCTATGACAGGATGGCAGGACCTGCCGGGGTTGCCGGCCAGCGCCGCACGTTTGACTCAGCGCGCCCTCTAGCGCTCATTTCCCTCACGACCCCGTGCAACCCGAGTCGAAGTTGCGAGGCCTCGGGCAGATTCCCTTTTTCCTGGGAGCGAGGAGTATGGTTCTAGCCCCAACTCTGCCTTTAATCTGCCCTGTCGCTCTGGCCACAAGGCACCCTTCTCTGGGTCTCACCTTGGTCTGTGAATGGAGAAAGTCATTGGCTCTCAGAAGTGGGCCCTCACCTTCATGAGGTTCACTCCTTCTAGGTGGGGGGGGGATGAGCAAAACAGAGGACCTGGCTCCCCTGGGGAGGGTTGGAGCCACAGGGGTTGTCTCAATCGGAGGTGACTTGGAGCCTGAGGGGCGGTTCTTAGAGGAGAAGGAAGTAGGGGACAGATTTCATGGGCTCCAGGGGTTGCACAGACTGTGAGTTTGGGGGCAGGCCTTTCATACAGGTGGGGAAACAGCTCAAATAGCATCCTGAGAGTGTGACATCAGCAGGAATAGCAGAGCAAGGAACTCTTCTCGTGAAAGCAGCAGATACTAGCGAGAAGAATCGCAATCAACTGTTTTCAAAACACTGGTTATTAACACAAAACGGCAACAGTGTGTATATTCAAGAAAAATGGCTGAGTTTGGGCCGGTGTGGTGGGCTTCGAGGCATTTTAACCTGTTCTAGTTCTGCCTTCCACACCCAAATCTAGTGGTAGCCTTGACTCCCAGTAGTTTCCAATCACAGTGAAAGCCAGCAGCCTTGGAAGGGACAGAATAGGGTGGGCACGACTCGAAAGCCCAGTTTCTGGGTAACATTATATCACCTATCTGGTGGTTCCTTGGAAGATCCTACTTACAAGATTGTGTTTATTTGACCTGGTTGGGAGCTCAATGCAAGCAGCCTTTCCCTGGAGGCATTTGTTAAAAACAATCAGCTGGGACTGTTTAACATGCACCTGTCTCAGCTGGTGAGAGCAGCTGGGGCAAACAAGAAACTGACCCCAAATTCTGAAAAGAAAAGCTGAGGAGGGTTCACCCATAAGGGATTTTGAAAAGCTCTAGCAAATTCCTAGGAATCTCGAAGCCCACACACAGGGGCAGGGCGGTATGTGTGCCCAGGAAAGATGCTGGCTGGTCATTTGCCATTTGCAAATGGTGTTGCAGTGCCAAGTACAAGAGGCTATACCTGCTGTGCAGATAGGAGGAGGTAGAGCTGGAGAGGTGAGGCCCACACAGGGGCTGGGTGCAGGACTGGGTCTTTCTGTTACAAACCATTTTCTAGTGACTCCAATGCTCCCCGCCCATGATAGTGGTGATATACATTTGCATATGTGCATGTGTTTCCCATGCACACTATCAGCTCTAGAAATGGAAAAAAATTCAAGAATTTTCTTTATTCAGGCATAAAAAAATACAGTACATCTCATGCACCAGTGTGGCCAAAATATAATTGCTATCTGCAGAGCAATTACTACAATGACAGGAAACAGGTTATAGGAATTGTTTGTTCAGTGACAAAACCTGGATTAAAATTGTTAATCTAAATAACAATCTGCTTATTATGCCAAACTCTTATTCTCTATGTTTGTGAGAGATAGAAATTTGTAAGTATTATTAGTAAAAAAAAAAAGTCATTATAAAAAACTAATGATTGGTTAAAAATAATGTCAGTGTTCTCTGCAGGCCCCTGCAGTATGAGACCGGGCCCAGGGTAGGCAGTGCGGTTTGTGACGCAGGGTAAGCTGGAGTGTGTCTCCTCCCTGCTCTCTGTCTGGATGCTGCCTCCTCAGGTGTGTCAGCAGTGGGAAGATCTGCACCCAGCTGTCTTCAAGTGACACAGAGGCAGGGGCCACAGGGCTGGGGCAGGGCAGGGCCTCACCTTCCACAGTGCGCCTGGGGGCTGGTTCCCTGAGACCTGGCAACAGGGCCTAAAGGCAGAAGGCGAGGCCTGTCACACAGTCTGTAGTCTGTGTTTGGGTATGGGCACTGCTGGACTTACTGAGGGCCACATCACGGTTTCTTCCAAGTCAGAGATATGTAGAGAAAGAGAAGAAAGAAAAAGCAGGAGTGACCAGGTGATGGAGGTGTCTTCTGCTCCAAAAACATCTGCCCCTTCACAGGCAAGCCTAGGTGAGTGCCGATAAGTGTCGGACCAGGGTCTCAGCTACTCTGTGCCTCTCCAGAGGCGGTGGGTGTGGAGATGGCCTTCACCCTATGATCTGTTACTCTTGGTCACCACTGTCCCTACAGGATGAATTCACAGTTGCTTCAAGTTCAACAAGCCATTTCCCTGAATTTGGCTGAATGAGTCAATGCTCAGCACAGCACAGTTACTGGAGCGGCAGGCTGGCAAGGTCACTGTAGGACCCAAGGTCAGGAGCTGCCACGTGGCCCCTTCCTCCCTCTTGACAGGCCTGGGGAGGAGCTGGGAGCGGCGGGGCCCCAGGAGAGTGTGAGGGGTCACAGCAGACCTGGAGCTCCAGACAGCGGCATGATGGACAGTCAGTCTTCCTGGGGACTGGGCTGCAGAGTCTTGTCCCGCAGGCCATACTGTCCACCCCTCTGCCACCAGGCAGTCACCAAGGTTACACCAAGTTCACCAGCGAGTTTGGTGACTTCAGGTGAAGATCCCGTTGGCAGCTGACCAAGGCTGGTTAGCTTGGGAGCTTTGCTGAGCCAAAGAGAATTTCTGAGTTAGAGTTGTGGCACAAAGATAACCAGGTGACATGGACGTCCCAGACTCGACAGTACAGGAGCCCAGCCTTTCCAGCATTTATGGAGTAGCCATCACTGAAATATGTTCCTGGGTATTTTAGGGGTCTGGAGCCCACCATCCTGGGCATGGTGAGGTCTTTGGCACCCACAAAGAAGGGGTGCTGGGCTGGGGAATCAGTGCCACTCTGGAAGGCTTTTGAGGCCTGCTGTTGGACTGACCTGGGCTGTCTGGGTTTGAGTTCCCAGGCCCAGAACTCCCTGATCCCTAGTATATCAGCTCCTCCCAGGGGTTGGAGCCATACATCTCGGCCAGCATCTTGAACCTGGGCCCCCAGTCGTTGAGGAAGTCGTAATCGATGTCTGAGTCGGTCGAATCAGTGCCCAGGGAGCTGAGCGACTCTGCGATGGACTCAGAACCCTCATAGTCATAGATGTGCAGGGTATCATAGGGCGGGCCGCTGCCATCGTGGTCTGCCTCGTCCTTTTTCACCTCGATCATTGCGGCCATCTCCCCGGGTCCACTGTGCATCCCTTGTGCCATCCGCGGTGGCTTCTGCGCCGTGGCGTAGATGGGCGGCCGGGTGTCCAACACGGACCGTGGGGGCTTGGCCGCGCCGGACCGCGCAGAGGTGAGCACCGACACGTCGTAGCAGGTGGTATCCATCTCGCCGCCACCCTCCTCGTCGTAGGTGACCAGCTGCTCGTGGATCTCGGTCACGCCCTTGCCGTGGGCGCGGGCCTGCTTCCGGAGCCGCCTCCGCAGGAAGAAGAGCAGGGTGATCACTGGGCACCAGGGAGAGAGGCGGGGGTCAGACAGGCTCTGGAAGGGGTCCCCCATTCCTCTGTCTTCCCTGTGCCTTGCCAGTTCGGCCCAGCCTGGGCTCCAGGGACACCTCCAGGACCGAGGTGGTCCAGACACCTGGTCCGATCACGTCCCCACCCATGGGACAGACTCCTATCCCCTGCCCTGGACTGTGCTCTTGGTCCCCATGGCTGAAGTAAGGGGACGGGCTGGGGAGAACAGGGCTGGGCTTCCTCCAGTTCATTATCTTCCTCCAGTCTCCTCCCCGTACACTGCATCCTCATTTCCTGTCCACTCGCACCAGGGTAGCACATCTTTCCATGGCATCTCCCAAAGGTCAGGAGACCACAGGTGGGGTAGAAGTGGGGGAAGGGCGTGGAGTTGGAATTTTAGGCACAAAGATTTTGAACTGTTACTTTGTTTTTTTTTTTTTTTTTTTTTTTTTTGTTTCGGGGTGGAATGTGGGAACCCTGGAGACAGCAGAAGACAGGCTTTTTTTGGTACCGGGGATTGAACTCGGGTCCTTGCGCTTGCAAGGCAGGCCACCGAACCGCTGAGCTGAATCCCCGGCCCCTGAACTGTTACTTTGTTACAGAGACTACAGTGCCAACGACTGGATAATGGCACTGGCAGACGTGATAACCACTGCAAGGGCAGCAACCACTCTTTTGCGCACCTACTTTATAAACACCTGGCACGAACTGAGGTACATGCTGGTATTGTCTCACTCAGTGTAGATTTTATTTTTTGGTGGTATTGGGGATTGAACCCAGGGCCTTTATACTAAGCCACATCCCCAGCCTTTAAAAAGAATTCTTTAAAACAGGGGTTCAGTAAGTTGCTATGTTGTCCAAGCTGAGCTCAACTTGTGATCCTTCTGCCTCAACTTCCCAGTAGCTGGTTTTACAGGTGTGTGCCACCTTGTCCATTCCAGTATAGGCACTGTTGTCCCTGGTTTACAGGTAAGCTAACTGGCCAGGAGGTGGTGCAGGTGACACTGCTGAAGGCCTGGAGGTGCGGCTGTATGAGGATTTCTGATGTCTGAGCAGGGGACAACCATGAGGTATGGAGAGACTCTAAAATCAGCCTTAGGCCATCCCCCAGGCTCTGTCCTAGCCTCAAGGTACTTGACAAATGGTCACATACACAAGTGAAGCTGGGAGACTGCACCCTAAGCCTCAGTTTCCTTGTAAAATGGAAATGATGTTTCTGGTCTGTTTATATTTGAATACGTTCTGTCCCGCCCCCTTCACTTGGTACCAGGGATTGAACTCAGGACCTTAAGCTTGCAAGGCAGGTGCTGGCACCACTGAGCTAAATCCCTGGCCCTGCTCTGCTTCTATTTGGGAAGATGGTTATGAGGTTAAATCACTTCAATGGGTGACCTCCACGCCATTATTATTCTTATTGTTACTAGTAAGCGGGGCAACCTGGGTCTGGCCTTTCTGTCACAGAAACCCTGGGAGGGGGCGTGCCAGGGGAGCCAATGGCAGGCAGGGCCGGGTGAGTGTAGGGTACAGGCTGGGCTGACTGCTGACTCCTCCATGGCAGTAAAGGATAGGGGAATTCACCAGGGGAGGATCCCTCCAAGCTGATGCCTCTCTGCCCCTCAAGGGGAGGAAGCTGTTACTGCAGGACAACTGTGAGGACTCAACCTCACTGGCCGCTCCCTTCCCTCTTTCCACAGAGGTCTCCAGGGAGCACCTTCCTAGTAAACCACTGGCACCCAGCGCCTGCTACCTGAGGGATGCAAGGAGAGCCTGGCATGCTCCAAATATGGGTGAGGCCAGAGGAGGAAAAGTAAATAAATTTCAAAACTGGAGGAATTCTGTGAAAGGAAAGAAAACCCCTGGTGACAAGGCAAACTAAGGTTTTAAAGACTTTTCCTTTTAGAAATGAATCCTATTTTTTAAAAAAATTAAAAGTAAGTTTTAAGTAAATAAATGCTCGGAACAGTGCCTGGCACATAGTAAGTTTTCAAAATATGTACACTGACACTGAATGTGTGCAGGTCAAATATAGCTTATTATTATTATTTTTTGTGTTGCTGGAGATTGAACCCAGGACCTCACACATGCTAGGCAAGTCGTCTAGCACTGGGCTGCCCCCCAGCGGTGGGTTATTTTGAAGGAGAGTTGGCCTGAAGAGTGGAGAGGGGTCTTGCACCCTGTGCCCACCCCTCTCGGGCAGCCCGGTGGGTGAAGTGCTGAATCCTGAATCCCACACCTGGAGCCCTGAGGTTGGGGCGGTGATCCGGCCCCAGCACCTCACAGGGTGAAGCCCCCAGGAGTTCCTGACCCGGCCCTGTGACACCGACCTGTGATGGTGAGGATGCAGAGGAAGATGGCCACCAGCGCCTGGATGCTGACGCCCGCCTGGGCGACCGCCTCCTCACAGAAGGTGAACGTGCCCTGCTGATTGCACTTGCACACGACCACAGTCAGTGTGCTGGTGCCCGTCAGGCTTGGGGACCCGTTGTCTGCGATGAGCACAGGCAGGTAGTGGAACTTGGCATGCTCCCGGTCAAACGGCCCATACTTGACTGTGATATTGGCTGTGTTATCTGGAGACACCAAGGCCACAGGGTGAGGCTCTGCTGGGAGTGTCCGCCCCCCATTCCACTGTGTAACTTTCCCTTCCAGTGAGCCCTCCCTAGCTGCACCAGCCCCTGTGGGGATCTCTGCCCTTGGCATTCCCTGCCTCTGGCTATAGTCATGTGCACACAGGCCCTTTCCTTTGCCGAGAGGATGTTTGGGGCAGCTGCCCTGATCTAACTTGGAAGGATGGCTGAGCCAGAAAGTAAAATCTTTCCTCTTTTGTTCTATGGGAAACACTTGTCCCCATCTTTTCCCCAGTCCCACTGCAATTACAGGGGCTTTTCTTCCTTGGCACAACTAACTATTGCTTCAGACTGTCACAAGCAATTGGGAAATGTTTTAAAAAGTCTTTTAGCATTGGGCTAGCTTTTAGAACTGTTTTTGCTATCTCTGAAAATCTATCATTATAAAGGAAGTTTGCAACAGTAAAAACAATGCCCTCATTCCCTGGGTCACTGAGAGAATGGCTGCATTTGCCATTGAGGGCTTTCTGGGCAGTCTGCAACTGGCAATATGCTTTGTTCAAATATTCCTTGCCTCTACCTCAGCTCCAGTCGCTGGTTTCCTGACATAAGAATCCTCTAGACTGCTTTTAAACATCCTGATTTTCAGGCTCCTCCCTTCACTTCACTCTGAACACACACACCTCAGTGACTGTGGGCAAAGTCAGGGTAATCTGCACTTTGTAGATTTCAGGGTAATCTGCACTTTGTAGATTCCTGGGAGACTGTAAAACTGAAGGTTTGAAGATTTACTTAGCCACACAGTAGAGCACACTCAGGCAACCAGCCAAAGGTCAAGGATTTCAAATGAAAGCCAATTACATTTCATAATTTTATTTCAGTCTTAAGTCTATTAAGATTGAAAACAAATTCTATGCCATTGACACTTTATGGAGAAACTAGAGATTCTGACATTCAGAATGTAAGTGACTCTGAAACCAACAGGCTTATCTCCTGTCAGCATCTGGGGTGTCTTTGGGGAAGTACTTACATTTTTCACTCCATTGCACTACCATATTCATTTCAGGTTGACACTGGGAGTGGGAATGACAGGTATTTTTTTATATATTATTTACTATTCATTATGGCTTATATCTAGATATCTCCCTAAAGCCTCTTGCAGTCATAGGTGGGAAGTTTTGAGGGTGTGTGAATGTAGAATAAAGGTGTGATACCAGGATTAAGGATGTGGATAGTGGAAGCCCCGCCCTGGGTGTGGGTGGCACCAATCAATAAGCTTTATAGCCTGTATGGAATATAAAGGGAGACAGAGAAGGCAGGCTGCTGCTGCTGCTTTCTGCTTTCTCCTGCCACACCATTAACTGTTTCTCTTCTGCAATGCCCCTCTGCCATGCCACCCTGCCTTGGAGCCAGATGACTATGGACTGAAACCTCTACACACTGTGAGCTGAATAAATCTTTCCTCCTTTGACATTGAGCTTTGGGTATTTTTTCTCAGCAATGCAAAAAGTAACTAAGACACTACTCAAGATATCTGATTATATATCATAGCCACTACTTTCTTCAGCTACATGTGTGCACATGTGCACGTGTACAGGCCTTCCACATCCACAGGAGGTCAGGAGCATTCATGGCCTCACATAGATGATTCCCTGAATTTGACCCTCACTTTCCAGGCCCTGCTCCCTAGTCTTCCCCAAATATGGCAATAGTCTTGCCAACCAGGGCAGGCAGAAACAGCCCCGCTTCTAGGCTTGAAGAGGATTTTCTCTATTTTCCTGAGGAAGTTTCAGAGGTCATGGAAGCTTCTCTGCCTTTGTACTTAAATCAACTTAACATCATCACTGGGGTAAGCACATATTCATTAGAAGAGATGATTGGCTACTATTGATCTCACAGGACTCTCTGAGCTTTGAATGGTGGGCCAAATGTGCTGTGTCATGCTGTGATTGGTGCACCAGGTCCTGTGTAGGGGCCACCTGGGAGTAAGTGGTCATTGCAACTGAATCAAAATTTACTGTATCTTGGGCCAGGGATTTAGCTCGGTGTTTCCACCACCTCCTTTGCAAGCACAAGGTCCTGAGTTTGATCCCTGGTACTCCCCCAAAACAAACAAACAAACAAACAAAAAACAACCAACAACAAAAAAACTATCTTTGGGATTTGCAAATTCATTGTCCAATATTTGTACTTCAGGGGCGACCTCAAAATTTCATGTTCTACAGTAATTCCAATTTCACAGAGGCACAGCAGTGCTGGTGTGAGAAGAGATCCATTGCCTAGTGGGCTGTGCTGACTGCCTGCACTCCCCTATCTATTCTGTATTCCTCCTGACATGAGCATCTTTTGGGGGATCCATGAGCCATATGGATTGGGCAGTTTGGCCAGGGTGACTCTGATCATTGTGTAAACCAATTTTACAGTGAATGTGGCAGGAGCTGTACAAAATTTGCTATGATATACAAATCCTCAAGGGGGCCTGCCCCCATGTGATCTTGATCTTGGCGCTTCAAGACTCAACCTCACCCCACCCCTGCTAAGAGCCAGCTCATTGCTCTGATGCTCACCGTGATTGTCTATGAGGGTGAAGTTGCTGTCATCAGTGCCCAGGGCAAACTTGAACTTGACGTTTTGTGGTGTTATGTCCTTGTCTACTGCGGAGATCTGTACAACCAGCTGGAATGTGGGAGATGGGGGATGGTCATTGTTGTGTTGGGTTGGCCTGGGGTTCAGCAATAGAGATTTTGGGTTTAGACCTTACTGACCATAGCTGCCACTCAACTGCAACACTAGATAGTCTTCACAAGGGCACTTCTTCTACCATTGTCTTGTCCACCCCCACCCCCACTAACCTACTCTCCAGAATGCTCTCTAGTCCTCACTTTCTCTATACGTAAAATGGGGATAGTCTTACTGACCCTCAGTGCTACTGAACATTCCATTAAGCTCAGTGGAACTCTAGGGTGGCTTGGAGGGGCTGCCCTTCAACCTGCTCCCAGATCATGCTGCCTTTCCATTCCACCCAGCCAGACTCACCTTGCCATGGGCTGCATTCTCGCACACTTTGGGCTCATAGGGTTGAGCAAATTCTGGGGCATTGTCATTCTCATCCAAAACTTCAATGTGCACTTGCACAATGGATTCTTTGCCTGTGGGGTTCCCTGCAGAGAGAAGGAATTGTCACTGCTGTGGGCTCAGCTGATGCTGGCTTCTGGAGGGTGGAAGGTGTTTGGATGGGTAGACTGGAAGGGCTGTCTGGTGGAGGTCACTCTTTGCAGGAAGACAGAGCTATAGATCTCTGGAAGAAAGATCAGTGATGATGTTCTGGCTAAAGGAATGTGAAGGAAGAAGGAATGGGGTAAATCTTCAGACATGAAGACATTTACTGACATGTAAGAAATTTACATGAGGAAATCTACATGACTTGTAAGAATTAAAAAGGTAAACAAGCCGGGTGTGGTGGTGCATGCCCGTAATCTCAGCACTCAGGAGGCTGAGGCAGGAGGATTGCTGTGATTTTGAGACAAGCATGGGCTACACAGTGAGCTCCAGGGCAGTCTGAACTAGACAGCGAGATTCTGTCTCAAAAAAAAAAAAAAGGTAAACAATCTAAGTGCATTTTGCAATATTTTAATTAAATTAAGTAAATAAAAATAATTTATTAAATAATATAATTTAATAATTAGTTATGTAATTAATTAAGTAAAAATTCACCTTCCTCTTTGGACCCCAGTGGGATCCTGGGAATTGTGGGAATATTAGTTGTTCTTCTGGAGGGTGTTTGTGATTTCCTCACATATATCAAAGGTACAAAACCCCTGACACTTGCCCCTGCCTCAGTCAGAAATTACACCATTTATGGAAAATCTTGAGTTGAGAGATGCTTCAGATTTCGAATTCAGCCCATTAACTGATGTAAACACCCGTACGCCTAAGAAGCATTTCTCAACCACCCCTGATAATGAGAATCAGCTGGTGCTTGATATGTGCACCTCCCTGACCCCATCTTTCCTCGCTGGATCAGAACCTCCAGGGAGGAGCCTGAGAAGCTGTGTGTCTAGTAGGTACCTTAGATAATTTTCATCACAGAGGCATCTATACTACACTGCCAGTTTTGGAACAGTGCTTCTCAAATTGCTGTGTGTGAGATTTTGATTCAGCCTGGGATAGGAATGAGATTCTGCTCTTCTAGCAAGGTCTCAGGAGATGTAGATGCTGCCAGTCTAAGGTAAACATTCAAGTATGAAAGCTTGATAGCATCCCAGCCAAAGAGTGCTTCAGCAGGTTTTGTAATACCTCTAGTGACCCTGAGTGACAGAGCATGGCCAATTTGAAAGAATGGGAGAAAAGGAGAAGAGTCCAAGTCTTCTGGCAGATGGGGCTACTCACCATGAAGGTCTAGTTCATTGGCCTCCACAGTCAGGTTGTACCAGGGGTAGATTTCTCTGTCCAGCTCTTTCTCATTGTGAATGTCACCCTGTTTGGTTATTCGGAAGAATTGGCCCTTGTCACTAGTCTTGCGGATGGAGTATCTGCCAAGGAGAGAGTTTTATGGTTTGCTACTATTTTTCTACTAAGTCAAAATCCTCAGCAGGATAGAAGTCTTTCAGGATCTGTTCCCAGCGTCCTTCCACATCTGCTCAAACTGCTCAGACCCGTGCATCAACACCGAGGGACTCAGGGATGGTCTGGGTGATGCTGCTGTCTTAGGAGTGAATGGGGTACCTGAGACTCCACCAGTAGCAGAGCTAAGTAGGTGACCCTGTAATCAACTGTACCACAACTGGGATTGTTTCTTATGATTAATGAAAAGATATGTAGGCAACAGCCCGGGAGAAATGCAAAAGGAGCTGCAAGAGATAAGAAGTAATAATCAACAAGTTTGTGAATGACAAAGGTGAAAAAATTTTCCAGAAACCAGGAAGTTGGGAAGACATGAATACACACATACAAATACACACACACACACACACACACACACACACACACACACTATGTCATAAAAACTATTGCTATTACTGAGGAAGATTCAAGAACAAACATACCATAAAAATAACAAAAATATAAGAGAAAACTTTCCTGATCTGAAGAAAGATTTGAGTTTATAGATTAAAAGGTGTCATCAGTATCATGCATAATTTTAGAAAGAAATATTTAGGTATATTCTGATGACACTCTGGAATTTCAGGTTATGTGAGGAACTGAAGAGCTCAGAAGCTTAGAAAAAAAATTCCTTAGGAGGAGAGGGAAATTAGACTCACATAAGATGACCCCACAAAATTAAATGTTAGAACACACTGATCGCATTTTTGAAGGGAAGAATCTGTCATCTGAGGATTGTATGAGCACACTGAGGAGGTGGTTTATTTTTGTACCAGGGATTGAACTAGGGTCCATGAGCTAGTGAGGCATGCAATGGCACCACTAAGCTAAATCTCTGGTCCCACACTCGGGTCTGTTTTAAAGTAATAAGGGAAAGATCTAAGGTTTTTTTGGTAAATACATAAGAACTAAGGAAATATATCACACAAGAAAAAGTAAATGATATATTTAATTTTTTTGAACACTTACTCTAAAAAAGATTCTCAATATAAAGTAAAAACCTGGCTTTGGAGGAATTTGAATGAAGCTATTGCTTTCTTTATCGTATGTAGAAAGGCAATGGTGTGTGTGTAATATTTTAAAGTAGAAGAAACATTAATATTTTTACAGATAGAAGTGAATCTCATTGGTAGAAGCTCTAATCTATCCAAATATCTAAGAAAGTATTTTATAGCAAAGATGAGGGATAAGAAAAAACTCTTATAATCGAGAAATATAAAACAAAGAGATAAAAGAAATAAGATCAAACATAACACATATGATGAAAAATGTAAACAGGTTGAGCACAAAGCATGGCAATTTAGATTAGAAAGCAAAGCTAACACATTCAATTTTCAAGGGACATCTTCATGTGAAATGACTTAGAAATATTAAAAGTGAAGGGTGGCTAATTTATACCAGGCAAATAAAAATAACATGAAAACAGGACTGACAAAATCAATGCCAGGCAATGTGAAAGTAAGAGTCAAATATTGAAATGGAATAAATTGGGTAATTTCATAGAGATAAAATTTATAAGCCATAATGAAGGTAATATAATTGCAAGCCTTAGTTAACCAGATAGAAAAATTAAAATACATAAACAAAGCTTCAATATCTTAGGAAAAAATAGACACAAAAAACAATTGTATCACATCACAGAACAAGTTAAAACAAAATTTTAAAATTTCTCATTATTTGTAAACAAAAAGAAAAAAGTCAGTCCCTTAAAACTCTGAATCAAAGAAGAAAAAGAGATTATAAATAGACTATATGGAATAGAATGGCAATGAAAATAGCAGGCCCAAAATTTATGAGGGCAATCAAAACAGAAGGGCTTGTTTTATCCTTAACAAGAAGATATAATATCACAAAAACAGTCCTTCCAAAATAGATATACAAACAATTCTCATTGGAATGTCAATGTGTTTTTTTTTGTGGTACTGGGGATTGAACTCAGGTCCTTGCACTTGAAAAGCAGGCCACCGAATCACTGAGCTAAATCCCCGGCCCAGAATGTCAATGTTTTTTTAAACAACTAGGAAAAAAGATTTTAAAGCTCATACGAAAGAATGGATATATCAGAATGGATAAATATAAGAATAGATAAAAATTATATAAAATAAAAATACAATGAGGGAGGTATTATCTTATACATACTAAAATTTAGTAGAAAGCTGCTACAATACAGAATGCCACAGAACAATAGGGGGAGAATTCAGAAATATATGCAGGTGTATATAAGAACTTAGTATATAGCAAACAGTGGAAACAATTGTCTATCTATGTGGAATAAAACACAAATGGACTGAATTCAAACTTACTAGCAAATGAATTAGATCTACTTCTTTTGTTCCAGAGGATGGAGGAATGGAGTCTAGGGAAGACAGATAAGCAAGTGCTACGCTTTGAATGTGTGCCTCAACACAGTTTGTAATAGCTAAATCTTGGAAACAGCCCATTTGCCCATCCGTTGGAAACTGGATAAAGATGTGGTTATTCTATAAAATGGAATATTACTCAGTCATAAAGAACGAGAAAATAGATTCATTCATAGGAAAATGGATACATATTGAAGATATACTCCTAAGTGAAATAAATAAGTCACACATGTGTAGATATCAAATAGTTTCCCTGATGTGAATAATCTGCAGTAATACATAAGATCCTAATAAGATTACTGACATTTAGAAATGGGAAGAAAGGAGCTAAAGGTGTAGGGAAGGTGGGATGCGTAGGGGAAGGGTAATAAGGGAAAAGAAAAAAAATGTGAGATAATGAAAAGATGAAAATAAAGTGTTTGTAGACGGGGAGGGGAAGAGGGGGTGAAGGGAGGGCAGGGGTAAGGGGAAAGAATGAGAATCAAGACTTGTCATGTAGAGGTACAAGATCCCAACAATGAATGTAACTATACTGTATCCTTAAAATGTACCAATAAACTCAATTAAAGCTGAAAAAAAAATAAAGAATGAATGTGTGCCTCAAAAGTTCATGTGTTGGTGACCTGGACTTGGTGGCCCAGTCCAGCAATCCCAGCACCCTGGGAGGCTAAGGAAGGAGAATTGCGAGCTCAAACCCAGCCTGGGCAACAAAGAGGAAAGACCTTGGGTTCCTTGTCCAGTACTCCCCTCCCACCCCAATGTTCATTTGGGAAACCTAATCCCAAAGTTCCTATGTTAATGGAATTTAGAGACAGGGTCACTGGGAATTAATTAGGATTAGACAAGGTCATAAGGGTGTGGCCCTCTGATGGCATCAATGGCTTTACAGGATGAGGAAGAGCGATTGGGGATGACAAGCTGGCTGTGTCTAACCACGTGATGCCCTCCACTGTGTGAGGATGCAGTATGAAGGTCCTCACCAAATACCAACACTGGGTGCTGGCATTGTGCTTTTGGTCTTCACAGTCTCCAGAGTTGTGAGCTAAATAGACACACACACACACACACACACACACACACACACACACACACACACACACACATATATATTGCCCAGGGCATAACAACCGAAAACAGTGAGAGACAAAGTACCAATGAAATGGGTATGATATGATTAAAAAACAAACAATTGAGCTTTGGAAAAACAACAAATCCAGCAGTAATGTGTGGGCATGAAGAAGGGTATGATGGGACGTGTCAGGTCACTTGAATGATCTAGGAGTGGGACTTATCAAGATTTTCTTTATAGATCTTTGGTACTGTTTCACCATGTGAAATAAACATTTCCTTTGTACTTTTGGGAAACAAGTAAAACATGAATGAAACACTCTTGGCACAGGGGGTTCAACTGTATGTCACCCGATTGGTTGCTTTCTTGATTGTCAAGTGTATTAGGTGGGCCATGTGGGAGCTGTGGTCCAAAGCACAGGGCCTTCAAGGTGGAGCAGAGCACAGCTTGGGCCATGCAGGGTGGGTGTCCTAGCAGGAAGAGATCCCAGTAGGCCATAAGCATTAGTGGGAAGACTTTGGGCATCCAGTCCTCCCTCTGCCATTTCCCATATTAAGTGTGGGAGAGGCCAGCTTCTCTCTCTTAGTTTTGGGCAGACCAGCAGGAATAAGAGCATAAAAGCTAGGCTGGTTACTGTCACTGTCACCGACACCCCCACTCTTCTTACCCAATTTTACGCCCTGCCTTGTCAGGGTCCTTGGCCAGCACTGAACCGATTAGATTTTTCTTCTGGTTCTCCTTCAACAGAAAGTGATAGAAGTGCTTCTGGAAGACAGGAGGCTCATCCACATCCAAGATGTTGATGACAACACGGGCTTTGTTTTTGCCTGAGATGCCTTTCAGGTAGCCGAGGTTGATAGTAGGGTCTGTGGCCTCGACAATGAATGAGTATTTTTGGATGAGCTCATAGTCCAGGGGCTATGGAAGGAAAAGGTATAGTGATACCTGCTCTGAGTCAAGCATGTGCCATGTGACCACATAGCCATCCCGCACGGTGGTACCAGAGTGACACTCAGTGGACACTGTGACCTGGACAGTGCTATCTCCAAGGTCGTTAAAGGAATACCTGGGCTTGGTGTCTATCTTCAACTCCTTTGTTTCATTTTACCAGTCTCAGGGCCACATCCCAACCCTGGCTCTGTGTCTGGCTGTGTGCCAAGTATGGAGGACATGCAGTCCATTAGCCATGGTCCTGCTCTCAAGTGGATCATTGTCTCATGGCCTATGCACAGGTCCTCACAGACCTGCCTTTTTTAAAAAAATATCTTTACCCAAGAGGGTTCTCCTGTGCTTGTCTGTGTGGCAAACTCCTATCCTCAAGAAGCCAATGAGAAGGTAATTAGATGCCCTCTTATCACCCTCTGCTGACAAGGGCTTCTCGCTGTCTGGTATTGTTTAGTAGCACTAAACAGCAGCTCTATTTTTGTGTGCATCTGCCTTGCTCACTTACTGAGAGCTTTGTGGACTCTGGAGGCTCTATGTCTCCCCTTTGTGTCTCTGGTCTCCAGCACAGGACTGGAGAGGATTCAGGTTCAGAATCCTTCAGAGGCATTTTTACACTCCTTTCAGGACTTCTCCCTCATCCTCCAGATTCAGTCTGGTTTTTCTATTGGGAGCAGCCACTTTTCATGGCCACTTGTGTCCCTAGGCACTTATAGTTTCCCTAACTGTTGATTGTTTTCAACTGGCTGGGACACAGAGTAGCCCGGAATGTGCCCGGGATTCAGTGACCCAGGAGCAGCGATCCGTCCACACTGGAGGGGTTGCTGTACAAACACTCCAGCTCCTTTCCCCAGATACTGCAACTCTGAGATGGGGTCTACATGGTCCACAGGTATCCCTCACCAGACTGGGTCCCACTTGCTCACCTGCTCATTGATGAGCTCCATACTAAATTCCTTTTTTTTTCTCACCTGCCATTGCCCCTGAGGCTTCCTGGGGTCACCTCCCAAATCATACCCAAATCACTGCCTCCAGGTCTACTTGGGGGTAACCCAGCTTGAGACACAGGATAAGTCTCCATGAACACACAGCCAACTCTGAGCCAATCCTGACTGTCGTCCTTTGATGGTTTCTAGCTCAAGTGTAGCTCCTGGGCAGGTCCTATGGATGCTGTAAGCCCCAAACTCTATATCTGATGCCATCCTTGCAGGTCTACAAACCTTCATGGGCTTGATGATGCCTTCATTGCGGGTAGGGTCCGTCTCGATAGTGAAGGTGTCCCTGTACTCGCCCTGCACGATGTCAAACTTGGTCTTCCGGTTCTGAGGCTCATCCGGGTCCTCAACGAAAAGAGAACCCACAGAGCTGCCCACGCGGATGTCTTCAGGCACCACAAATGTGTACATGGCTGCTGCAAATAGGTATCCCAAACAGCATTGGTTTAACAAGACAGACAAAGCATGTTATCCTACCATATCGTGATACAAGAAATGGTATAATAAAATAATGGCAATAATGATGATATTAATATCCCTGGGATTCTGGGTCCCAAGGCAAAGTACTATGTTCTGTCTATCTATCCCCTCCCTTTCTCTATCCATGCAACAAGTGGTTATTAAGCAGCTATTAGATGCCAGATACTTTGCTAGGGGACCAATTAATTGACAAAAAAGATAAGTCTTGTCTTTGAGGGGCTTACACTATACACAATAAAGTCATTTCAGGAGATCTGGCCTAGATTTGGGCTGGGTGAGCCTCTGATTTACATAAAAACTAGAGGTTGCAATGAACACAGACCCACCCAGGGGATGGAAAGAGCTCTGGTCAGACATTTTAGGGGGGCAGAATCAGTCTATGGATGGGGTCAGGGCCCAGCCTGGGCTGTACCCCTGCTCACTGGTTCATTGGGATTTTCTAGCTGGAGCCTGAGAGTCAGGGTCTGGATTTTCCTGAGAGCATAAGATCTGGATGAAACTGCTCCTGTCTCGTAGTAGGCTGCAGGAACAGCTGTGATATCCACCAGGAAGTGTGATTCCTCCTGGCCTGTGAGAAGACCATGACCAGGGAATGATGGACTTGGAAGTGTGGAAACACTTGGAAACAGGGCCCCTCCTATACCCCAATGATCTGTCTGGGTCTTAGGTTCACCCTGGGTTAGAAGACAGGTAGAGGAATTTGAGGAAGCTCTCCTTGACCCTGAAGTCATTGAGTCTGGAGAAATCCAATTCCTGCTTGCCCAGGGCCCTAGGGGAGGGGCTCACGCTGAGCAAAGATGGGGAAGTTGTCATTGACATCTTGCAGAGTGATCAGCACGGTGGCTGTGCCCGATTCTCCTTTGAGGCCCTCGGCATCTCGTGCTTCCACCACGATCTCATAGTTGGCCTGTACCTCTCGATCCAAGTTTTGCTTTGTAGTGGAAATTAATCCTGCAAAAAATATTTTCAAGAGCCATGTTACCTGGGAAGCTTTGAGAATACGCGCATGCTCGGGCCCTACCTAGAGGCAATTCCAGTGTGCAGCCAAAGAGCTGGTCAAAAAGCATGGTCTGATTTTGGTCCTGGCTACCTGGGACACTGTGTTGAGGAGGATCAGGAAGCCACATCCGGGCACAGAATGAAAGGATGCTGTGATGGATTAGTGATGTCTGTTTAGGTGCACCATAGGATTGTGGTGGCATCTGTTCTATGTATTTCCTGTTCCTTCGAAAGACAGGTGCCCCAGCCCATTCAACTGGCATTCTTGCTTCCAAGATGCAGTACTTAAAGATTTTAAGTCTGTTAAATCAAACTAAATTTGGTAGGAGAAAACCTCTGTACTTGTTTGGGTCCTTTTGTAACAAACTTCAACCTAACTTTGTATGTAAATGAGCTGAAAACCCAATTTAAGACTATACGCAGTCAATCATAGCAGCTGTACTGTCAGGCACAGGTGGTCAGCTGTTTACCTCTATGCAAATAAGGCAAAATTTTAAGTTGTAACCAATCCTCCTGTTTCTGGACCTTACTTCTGTTTTCTGTAAGTTAATTTCTTTGCTCTTAAATTTTATCTATCCATGTGGCAGCTCTAGAGTGACCTTGTTTTGATTCTGGGGCTCCATGACTATGAATTGTTCATTGCTCAATTAAATTTAATTTGTGAAGTTTTTCTTCTAACAAGAAAGTCACAAAATGCTCCCTTTATTATTCAGACTTCTCAGCTTCTATATGCTTGTAGTCATTACTACAAGCAGTCCCAGTTTTTAGATTAGGAAACTGAAGCTCACAGAGGTTAGTAGATTTGTTGAAGTTCTCTATAGGGGTGAGCAGAGCTGGGTTTAGATATTAGATCCATCTGAACCTGTGTAAAGAACTGCTAACCAGCATTCTCTGTAGCCTTTTCGTCACTGCTCAGATAGCAAGATCCTGATTTTGTCCCTGGGATTTGAATCCATGGTTTGGGGAACTGTCTTGCTTTCATTTCCCACAACCAGCCTCTCTCCTTGGGTCAGTGTGGTTCAGTGGTTGGTGACAATGGTCAGGCTGAATTTCTCTCGGCATCTGCATGTGGGGTATTTCCATTCCCCCATCCCTCCAACTGGTGCCCAGCCAGAGGTTTAGTTACACAGACCTGAATTGTCGATGGCAAAATTCTCGCCCCCCTTCAGGATTTGGTACATGACAGTGGCATGGTCTGCCACGGTGGGGTCATCTGCATCCATTGCGGTCAAACGCGTGACTGAGGTCCCTGTGGAGAGAGGATCCTCAGCTTACTTCCTTGTGAAGGTGCCCTCTCATCCCATTCTTGGATTAGGGTAGCTGGGGCACTGCTGTCCCCACCTCCCAGGTCCCTTGGTTTCCCAAAGGGCACAAGGGCAACATGCTGGCAACGTTGGGCCCTGCGGGTCAAGCTTAAAGAAGAAAAGAGAACACTTGCATATAGAAGAAGTGTGTGTGTGTGTGTGTATGTGTGATGATTGGGTCAGGAGTAGAAACTCAGGGTCATGGGTCATTCCTCCCGAGAAGGAAATGGCCATGCCTTCCCAGGGATGATATCACAGTTCTCATCCCCTCACACATACCAGGAAGGCCTGGTGCACACTCTGCCAGAGATCCTGGACTGAGGGGGAGGAGAGGGACGATTTTTCCTGGCACCTTCTGGATGTAGGATTAACAAGGGATCGGTAACTACCCGAGCCCAGGCCTAGGCTGGTGACACACTTTGGGGCTTGAGACGGAGGGCTCTGTCCGCTAGTGCCACTCATACATAGCCCCTAGAGGTGGATTTTCTTACTTTGGTGACAAGGTTTGTCATACATAATTCAAGTGCATCAGACCTGGGAGTGAGAGGCAGCAAGTGGGGGATGTTAAGAAAAATAATGAGGTACGTGTGTCTCTGATGACTAGGGCTCAGTCCATGATCAGGATCAGGGCTCAGTTTATGTTTAGGATCAGAAATAAATCTGAGGTTAAGTCACAGCTCAGTTTTAGGGACCACTTTTTTCAAATCATATAAAGTGGCAGCACAGGCATTACAACCACTGCCCGGAAGTCACTGAATCCTGACTCCAGGCAGTGAAGTGGCTGATGCAAGAGTTACTCCCAGGCGGGGGGTGAGCAAGAGAGGAGAGGAGAGACAGAGTGGGCACATACCCCCAGGTGACATCTCAAGCACCGAGGCATTGAACAACCGATGCGTGAACACAGGCCAGTTGTCATTTATGTCATGAACTTTGATTGTGAAGTTGGAAGGAGGCTCCAGGTTTTTGTTAGTGTCTTTGTCCACGATGAGGGCAACGAGAGAGTACTCAGAGACCTTCTCCCGGTCGAGCCTCGCAAAAGCATACACATCCCCTGTGTCTGCATTGACCTGGAAAATGCTGTTAGCAGACTCTCCTTTGAGCACGTACTTGGCGTTCTTGCGGTTCACACTTGACTTGAGCTGGGAAAGAAGACACAACATGAGAGGGAAACAGGCAGCATGGCTGTGTGCCCATGTCTGTGCATGAGTGTGCACATCTGAGTGTGTGTGTGTGTATGTGTGTGGTGCAGACCAAGGATCCCAGATGTGACACTAAGTTTTAGCAAACAGACCACTGATTACCCACTGATTTGCTCTTAGGCAAGTTACACAAACATCACACTGGTGCGAGTTGCCAAACAGTACTCAAAGTCCAGAATGGCGTCTGGAGCATCATAGGTCCTTGAAGACGTTTTTTGAGTGGAAGACTATCCTGGTGCATGGGAAGGGAAGGGGCACCTGTCTTCTCTGACTTGTTACCTCATCAGTAAAACGGAGCTAATACAACTTCTGACGTCAAGTTGCTCTGAGTAGAGCAGAGGTTTTGAAAATGAATCCTAGGAAACTTGATCTCTTTTGCTGTTCCCTACAAAAATGGAGTTCCCATCAGTGGTGTGCTGGGGCTGGGTTGTTTCAGCATGGCTTTCCAGAGTCCATTTATAGCTTCAGGGATATTTGTAAGCTGGCTGTTCAATGCAGGCATTACTAAAAATTAAATTTTATAAATTTACAATACAAACAAAGCTTACAAATACTCAGAATTCATCATGTCTTAACTATTTTACAACACTTTACTATGTTCCTGAGGTTGTCTGTGGCTTTGGTATGGGTATGATGGGAACACGCACATCTCCCAACTCTGCCTTCAGTGGTGTCCTATCTGTAGATGCTGAGGCCACTGACACAGTGGAAGCTGGCAAATACTATACATCAGGACTTTTTCCCACGAGGGTCACTTTTTACCATTTCAGCACGCAACAGGTCTCGGTCAATTTAGTTTTGGAACAGAACATGGAGTGTTTTCTTGTTGGAGATTTACAATGTCCAGTCCTGCAGAAAATAACTTGTTTAACTCAGGATTTCCTGTACTTCTTAGATCAATGACCCATTTTTCTTTGCAACATGTACTATTATGATTTGGTGTAAGATTTGGAAAATAACATATGTCAAGTATTTTGCACAGAATAGGCTTTCAATAAATTCTAGTTACTGCTTTATTAATGATAGATCTACAAGCTAAAGGATATTAGAAAGTTAAGAGTGGTGAACATTCCATATATGGAATCACAGAGAATATTAGGACCATAAGCTAAGTGTTTCATGCATATAAAATGGTATTCTTCTAGATGATTAAAATTTCCAAGAAATAGAGTTTAACTTAAAAAAGTAGTGCCAGGCCCCACATGAGGGGCACGGAGGTAATAAAGACTTTGTCTTGGATCTCAAGGCTAAGGCTTGACGCCTTGGAGGCTGAAGCCTCGCAGACAGGTAGCACTCAGAGGCCAGACAGAGCAAGAACTTTGGCACGTGTCCCATGAAGATGTGTCAGAAGGGCTGGAGGAGGACTGGAAAAGTGTGGGACTCAGGGAGAAGAGGGAGATGTGAGAAAGCTGTGGTCCAATCCCATGAGGTCTAGAACATGTCCCCTGGGCTTAGCAGCAATGATGTCATTGCAGCCCTTGCTGAGAGCAGTGACAGGTGGTGGTAGGCTCAGATGCCAAATGTGAGAGAGTAGAGAAGAGTCTGCAAGGTGAGGGAATACAGACAGGGAGGGAGGACACTTTCCCTGGGGGGGTAGTAACTGGCAATGGCAACATCCTAGAGCGGGACTATGGTTGCGGTGGGGGCAGGTGGGCCCCATGAGGAGGCCCCCAGGCCTAGCACCCAGGACTATGATGGAGAGGGACAAGAGCTCTGTAACCTCTGGTGCACAGGGACAGAGGGACTCAACGAGAAGGGTCAGTGTGTGAGCTGCTCAGGTTAGGATAAGATGGCACTTTGCAAACGGTTCCAGGTGCACGTGGTGAGACTCACCAGGCAGGGATGGAGTGGGGGAGTGAGTCTGCTTGGATCCCTGTATTGGAACTACGCATCAGACTTCATGTCCAGTTAAGTTTTTGTTCTGTCCCTTTCCCAGTTTTTTTTTAAGTAATCATTATTTTCTAGAATGGTTTTTAGATTTCCAGAAAACCAAGAAGCTAGTGAGTTCCTCAATGACTGCTCCTTTTCCACCCATCAACATCTTATAGTAATGTGGCATACTTGCCATAATAAAGATATCAATATGGTATGTCACATTAAAGATATCAATATTGCTGTGTTATTGGGGCCGGGGATTTAGCTCAGAGGTTCTGGCGCCTGCCTCTCAAGCACAAGGACCTGAGTTCGATCCCCAGTATCAAAAAAAAAAAAAAAAAAAAAAAA